CCCAGAGTGCTTGATGGGTACCTGAAGGACAAGTGCTTAACATGTGCTGTGTGTTTTGTTGTGTGAGTCTTGTCACTCTGAGCTTTGGGGTGTATGTACAACTTCGAGCAATCACATCTTGTTGAGATGTCACTGGAGGCAGGCTTTTCTAGGGCACATCAAAGCCTGTGGCTGTCTTGTCTAGCTTTCAGACTATGCTAAGCCATCTTTCAAGCCTCTGGGAATTTGTCTCAGGAGGAAGCAGCTTTCCTTGAGCTGCCAGCTCTCACAGCTACTCGTTGACCCTGATGGAACAGGCAGCTTCCTGGGCACTTGCCAAGCAAACCAGCATCGGTCTGTTAGCAGGAGAGTACTGGGTGAGTTTCCTGTGGGCACATTAGAAGTCAGGGGCAGAACAAGAGGAATGGACCAGGATGCAGAAAAGAAAAAGGCCAAACTTCTCTAAGCTTGAACCATTGCATTTGGCTTTGTTGTGGTTTTAGCTTAGGGTCCTGCCTAGGTCAAATCCGGTGATCCCCTGCAGGTCAGCAAGGAGCTCTCACAGGCCAAACTCAGAAGAAGTCCCCTTCAAGATGACTGCCACTAGTTGATTGATGGCCTCTCCAGGTCAAAACATCCACCTGTGTCCAGGGCCTCCTTCAGCTCCTGACAGGCTTTCTCACCAACTGCTGGTCTGGACATCACCTCCATGGGTAGTACTTCCACATATGACACAGTGAGGAGATCCTGCAGGAACCACAGGCAGGACTGGATGAATGTTGACTTTGGTGTCCTTCCTCAGAGACACAAGCAAGTCTGGATGGGGAGGCAAGTTCTGCCTTTGCGGCACTGAGATCTACTTGTTGCTCCAAGCCGACTCTATTAGGATGAACATTCATGGTAAGCACCAGATCTACATCTGTTACTCCTGGCTCTGCTAAGGGTTGTCTCTGTGGAGCTGCTTTCCAAAGAGGAGACACAGGTTGGACTGAACAGCAGTGAATATAGTGACCAGGACAAAATCCCAGTTATTGGATATTTAAGGCATGGGGAGAAGTGGGGATTCTCTCCTATAGTACTAGCACTGATTACTGCTTTTTGTGATGAGTATCTAGGAAACAGAGAAATGGATGCCTAAAAGCCAGCAAACAAATAAATTGACTGAAATTCTATGAAACTATAAATAGAATTAGCATTGCTCCTGAGAATTCAGAGACATGAAACACAAGACAAGAACACTTGTTCTGTCCATGGAAGACATACCTGGGATAGAGGCTGTCCTCATCTCTGAACGTGATTTCTGAATTATTTAGCATCTGGCATTTCTGCTCCAGCAATGGACTCACTCAGAGCTTATCTTGCCTGCTTTTACTTTCTTTTCTTTCATCCCTTCTTAAACAGACTTGCAATTGCTCCTATATACTATTTATTGAAGATGCTATGCTTCTGTAACACAGCTGTGGGTGGAACAGACTCTGTAGGCACAGTTTGCACCCTGCATTTGGAATAATTGGCAGGAAGAAAGAAAACCGTCTGCAGTTCAATACACAGGGTATGAGCATATAAAAAAAGGAAAAGAATATATAGTTGCCTCTATTTGCCCATTACTTACTGTATTCTGTGCCATATAAAACATTAGGGGAATTATCAATAAAACTGGGTCCTAGTTGCATCTTTTAATCTTTCTTCTTTTTTCTTTTCTCTTTCCTTTTCTTTTCTTTTTTCTTTTCTTCTCTTTTTTCTTTTTTCTTTTCTTTTTTCTTTCTTTTCTTTTCTTTTCTTTTCTTTTCTTTTCTTTTCTTTTCTTTTCTTTTCTTTTCTTTTCTTTTCTTTTCTTTTCTTTTCTTTTCTTTTCTTTTCTTTTCTTTTCTCTTTACCTTTACCTTTTCCCTCACCTTTTCCTTTTCCTATCCTTTTCCAGCCTACTTCTGTAGCATGTGAGAGAATGATGCAATAAAGACTCCATCACATCATATTTCAAATACTCAGCTATTCATTGAATGGAAGGATCTCCATCCTTGCTTCCTGTATTTAGTTTACTTAAAAGGAATTACAGTAGTATGAATGCCTTGCATGAGAAACATGAAAAGGTCAAGAGATAATTCACTCAACCCACTGGTATCTCTGAAAAATACCAACTACATTGATCTTAAAGTACAACGCAATGTGGGGAGGAATGTTTTCCCAAAATGGGAACTAACTTTAAAAAATTAAGAACTTGGACAAAAGGATAACCCTTGGGCAGCTGCACACACTTCGAAGTTTGCAAATGGTCCTCTGAAGGGCCAGAGTCTGTTGCACATTGTGGTTCTTTTTTTTTTTTTTTATTCCCATCTAGAGAGCTTCCTAACTTTTTTGCAGTTACAGACTGGTTTTAGAAAAGATCACCCATGAACCAATACGGCATGATTTATCATGTGCATGATGGTGTATATATACTGTTAGGTTACTCTGTGACAAATCTGTAAATAAGCTTTAGCTTTTTGAGTTAAAGCCTGATGATAGTGACTGGATGCTGGGATCAAGTGTGCCCTGATGAAGTTTGCTGATGATACGAAACTGAATAGGGAAGTGGGCACTTCGGAAGGGAAAGTCACCCTGCAGGAAGACCTAGATAGGCTGGAAGAGTGGGTGAACAAGTACATTAAAATTCAACAAAGACAAGTATAAGATCTTGCACCAGGGAAAACAATCCAGGAGTACTGCACAGGCTGGGATCGACCTGGCTGGGGAGAAGCTCATCGGCGTTCCGATGGACAGGCAGGTCAATATGAGTGAACAGTGTGCTGCTGGGGCAAAGGAAGCCAATGGGATGCATCCACAAGGCCACCACCAGCAGAGAGAAAGAAGACATTGACCCACTCTACTCAGAGCTTGTCAGGCCACACCTGAAATACTGTGTTCAATTTTGGTTCCTTCTATACAGAAAAGTTGTGGACATGCTGGAGAGAGTCCAGAGAAAGGACGCAAAGATGATCAAAGGGCTGGGAAGCCTGACATGTGAGGAGAGGCTGAGAGACTTGGGTTTGTTCAGCCTTGAGAAAAGAAGGCTTAGGGGAGACCTTATCACCATGTTCCCATATTTAAAGGGTGTCTATAAAGAAGATAGAGAATCCCTTTTTACAAGGAGTCACATGGAAAAGATGAGGATTCATGGGTACCATTTATTCCTGGGGAGATTTTGATTGCACACAAGAGGACAATTTTTCACTATGAGAACAATCAGCCATTGGAACAATCTCCCCAGGGAAGTGGTGGGTCCCCTAGCATTGGACACTTTTAAGATATGGCTGTACAGCGTGCTGAGCTTTTTTAGACTGTGCTTTTGCCATGAAAGGTTAGTTGGACCTTGAGGTCCTTCCAATCTGGTATTCTATGACTCTGATTCTACAAACAAACCTTACACATTCACAAGCTGCATAAAGCTTGTGGAGGGTCTTGGTGCCTACTCTAAGTCTGTGGGTTAACTGTGGGAGAGATGTATCACAGAAACACTTTGCATGGTCTATAGGATCCCTTGCAATCCCATGCAGCCTACCTGGGCTGGACTCTTTGTTTTGTTTTCTCATTCAACTTCCTTTCTTGAAAAGATGGAAAACTTTTAAAGATGCATTAAAAGTTCCCCCTCTTTTTCCCCTAGGGAAGCAGGGATGAATCACATTTCCTTCTCAAATAAAGGTGGCTAGAGAGCAGCTCTGCATTAACGCTGTGATGTGAGGTTTGCAGCTGCTTTTGGTTCTGCACACCTCTGAGCAGCCTTTTAGGAGCAAAACCTAACCGATAACGAAGGAAAATACTGACTTCGCTGGGACCCTGCTGACTGCCATCAGCCGCTCCTGTACAAGCAAGTCTGGGAGCTGTTACAGTAGCACATTTTGTCCTGGGCATGTAAAGTTCATGTCTTGTTACAGTTTTCTTTTAAGGGATCTTTTTACCCCCCTCAGTCACAGAGGACTGACTTTGCTTCACTTACAAAAGTTAAAATGTAGTAAATACTTGGATGTAAAGAATTGTATAGCTTTTCACCCGGGGAAAGGTGTTCTGACTAGCTGTATTTCAATGAGACATATAAAAAGTCATGTTTGTGTGCATTTTTTTAAAATTGCTGTCATTACCCTGTGCACAACAGGTAGTAAAAGCTGATGCCACGGAGACTGGTTTTGTATTTATTAGCATAAAACTGACAGAAAATGTGTCAGACATCTCGTTGCTCAAGATGCTTTAAATCCACACCCTCGAACTGTGATTCAGCGAATTCCCGGAGCAAGCCTGGTCTGAGTCCCGCCTTCCTCCTTGCCCTGTCCTGCCGGGGGTGGATTTCCCCTAGAGAGGCCAATGAACAAAAGCTGATTTATTTATGCATGTGGTGAGGAGGAAACTTGCTCCACTCTCTGCCCACCTCTTCCTGCAAACTGTTAGCTCTCTTTCGCACCAATCGCTTCGGGTCGTGAATGCAAACGGAAGTGCAGGGCAGCGGAGCCGGGATATAGAAACTGCTGCTGTGAACATCACTGCCTGGCTCTGCTCCACACCTCATGAATAATACTCTCACCTCATGTTAGCTACGAGAGAAGAAAAAGCAGCAGCTCGTGTCGTTCTTCAGCCAAACTAAGGTGCTCTTTTGGAAAGGCAAAGCTGAGCACTGTTGTTAACTGACATTATTGAGGACATACACTTGATTTCTGGGTTTTAGCTGCTTTTTTGTTGGTGGGTGGCGGGTTTTTTTGTGGTTTTGTGCTTGGTTTATTTTTTGTCACAGCTGCAGCAGCATCTTGATGGGGAAGCTGTTCTCCAAAGGCCAGCGAAAAAGAGATGCTCGAGTTGTCATGCTGGGGCTCGACTTTTCTGGCAAATCCACCCTTCTCTACAAACTGAAGCGTGGCCAGGCTGTAGAGACCTGCCCGACGGTGGGCTTCAACGTGGAGTCTCTGCACACACCCTGTGGTGTGTCCTTCACCCTCTGGGATGTTGGTGGACAAGACAGCCTGCGGGCAAGCTGGCCTGACTACCTGGAGGACATAAACACCCTCATCTTCGTGCTTGACAGCACAGACATGACCCGGTTGTCCGAAGCGGCGGCCCTGAGCCACCCCAGCATGGCTGGCATCCCTGTCCTCCTCCTGGCCAACAAGCAGGAGGTGCCAGGAGCGCTGGCTCCTGCCCAGCTGGGGGAGATGCTGCGGCTGGGGCAGCTGGCAGGGCACCGCTGGGTGCTCCGGGGGTGCAGTGCCCATACTGGGCAGGGCCTGCAAGAAGTCCTGGCCATCCTGGGGGAGCTGCTGCGGGGCCCCAAGCACAGCTCCCCATCCCGAGAGCAGCCCCTCACAGAGCCAGCAGAGAGGAGACAAGCTCCAGAGCAAACCTGAACTTCAAGTGGACCCTTCCCACTCATCGCTGCCAGCAGGTTTGTCACAGAGGATTCCAGCCCCCAGGCACCCCCTAAGGTGAGCAGACCTGCAGCTGGCACACACTGTGAAGCACCCAGCTGCTCACCACTGAAACTCACCAGGAGCACCTCTGGGCAAAGCTCCCATCACAGAGCACTTTTGTCCCCATCCCATAGACTCTCATCACTGGCTGCAGCCTGTCCAGCTCTCCCCAGGTTCTGCTCAGCCACTGCACGTGTGTGTCCAGAGCTTCAGTGGGGATGCTTTTTGCCAGAGCAATATAAATTATAAGAGACGTGTACAAGGGACAGAAGAGGTTTTCTCCTTTCTGCAGCTCCCAGCCCAGATGCATCTATCCAGATGGAGTGATCACCACAGCAGGGGAGCTTGAACATGCCCCATGCTGCTTCTTTCAGCATGAATCACATGTTCATTGCCTAGGAAAGCAAGCAGCTTTCACTAAAATGAATTGCTGAATGGGAGCAGCATAAGCTCAGGACTTTGAATGGCCAAACAGCTGATTGGTTTTCGTGCAGCATCAACGGGCATAATCTTGAAGCTGTGGAAGCAAGTCAGGATTTGATGGTGTAATGCAGTTCAAGGATGTGTATATATTAATTTATGTTTGTTGTAATGCCTCTTTCTTTTTTTTTAATCAAATGCTGATTTAATGAAAATGGTACCTAATTTTCCTTGGATTATATTTAAATATAAAGAAATCAAACCTGAGTTTTAGATGCTTGGAAATACGTCTGGATGGCCAGTCAACCTCTAAATATCCTCATGGTATCCTGAACAGCTACGACAAAAACCTCATCTCTCAGACTTCTTGAAACTGCATGACACCACTCCACATACAATGGCTGGTAACCATGGGCACCTGTGGGCACAGGCAGGGTGGTAACCAAAGGGCTCTCCACTCAGCTGGGTCCACAGCAGGCAAAAATGCCACTGGAAGCTTGTGATAGGACTGGGTCCCTTGTGGCACCAATGGTCTTTGTCTGATCCTGCTCAGCCTACCACTGGAAAGACCTATGGAATGTGTGCCTCCCTGTATCCATACTCCTGTTATGCAGGGTTAAAATTAAGATATTTCATAGTAGTCCCTGCTTTATTATGAATGGGGGAATGGGAGAGAAAGGACACAAAATTTCCTTTTCTGTTTTCCATTTCTGTCTCTATTCAGAAATCAGCTGCCTTCAAGGAACACCTTATTCAACCTAGAAACACCAAGGAGAAATATATGGCAAAATCCTCTTCTGTTCATACCAGAGCATTTTACAGTTGTTAAGGAATTAATTGTCCAGCTGTTACTGGTGTGTTATTAGCCACACTTCAGAGAAGGCAGCAGCTGGAATAGAGAGCTTAAACAGTCGTGAAGAAACAGAATCAGGCGTTTATAGGAAGGTCTCAATAAAAGAAATCCTTCCCAATGGAAAAAGTCACATTTGTTTTAGCTGTGTTAATGTAGAACCATTCTACGCTATAAAACAGTGCTGCAGTGTTGATCTGGCCTAAGTGCTCATGGTTATGAGCATACTTAAACAGCACTGCATGACAAAGGAGCGTGTGCATGTTAAGGAGGACAAAAATTATGTCTTTAAATCTTCACAGGTAATGTAAGCATGTTGATCCACCTTTGGCTTGTTATAGGTGGTCACAGTTCGCCTGTAACACAAGCTCCAGTGCACATGTTGAGTATTTGACTGTCACAGCTGGAACAAGCAGGTTTAGCACACAAGTGCTAATGCACAGACAGAGGCAAACAAATTCAGGTCGTAAGTGCAACCCAACTGCCAATACATGAAAAAGCCACATCCTCTCAGAGGCCCATCTGGCCATTTTGTACACCAGTCTTAGAGGCACAACACAAATGGCTCTGTGTTGCTTTGCCCTGCCAAAAAAATTTCTCATCATTGAGTTTTCTGGTGTTTCGGTCTTGCATCTCACACAGTACAAAACAGAGTAGTTGCCCAGTAGGGCGAGGATCATCAGCACAGGCTGAAAGGTTGTCCTGATGATGTTTTACTCTTCAGTGGCTCTTGATGCATGCATTTGACTCTACAGGATTGTCTGTTGGTGGTTAAAAGAAGCCCCGAAGCCTTCCCATTCGCTTGTGAGTGTTTTTTAAGCTCTATAAGAGAAAGAATAGTCTCCTCTGGCAGCAAATAGAGGTAACCCACCAGCCTTCAGTAGGGAATACCAAGTGAAAATTAAAAGAGGTGGGAGGTGGGGAAGAAGGGGCAGTGGGAACCCTGAATGCCTGGAACTGATGAAACAGTCCCAGTTACTGAAAGCTACTTCCCCATAAGCAATAATTTGGCAAAATACCCTACCGCATGGGGCATCGTGTGATTTATCATCCTTGTTTTCTGCAATAAGACTTTGCTGGACATTTGGTCACATTACTCAGCCCATTTATGCCATTATTAAGAGACTGTCAAAACAGTGATGGGTCATAGTGTTCAGAACAGCAACACAGAGTTTACTTCTAATTATTTCTCTTTTCTCCTGCACTGGAAAGCTGTTAAAACAAGTCAAGCTAATGAGCACCACACTGCTCTAATCAAAGGCTTGTAGAATGCTCACCCAATAGCACTTAAATGTTTCAGTGTCAAAATTCCTGCTTGGTTCAAAGGGAGAAGAATGGCAGTTTGCAGGAAGCAGCCAGCTCCAGGGAGGGTAGTTTGTTACATCTTTTTCTTGGTAATTTTGCAGGACAACCTCTGTCACATGGAGTGATATTAATCCCTCAAATATCTGCCCTTATGGACTTCAGCCAGGAGAGAGCCCTCAAACTTAATTTCCATCTTCCTGGGTGTGTGATAGATGTCACAGTCTCTGCCCCAATATCTAAAATGACATAGCTTCTTTCCGAGTAGCAGGCAAAAGAAAAATCCTTATGACTTTGTTTCAGGGTCTGCACAAATTTAAATCCTTTGGATTACTGGCCCCAGAGCACACTCTGGCTACTCAAGATTCCTTTTTAGCAGCTTTTCTGGATGCTCAGTCCATCCACTTTGCTATCCCTGACATTGGTTGTCTTAAAGCCAAGAGGAGAAGTTTGGAACAGCAAACTGTTTCTATTTCCCTTTTTTTTTTTTTTTTTTTCCTCAGCAACTAGTATTTATTTTTCACTCTGTTTATAAAGGAGAAGTGTTGCTTGGGAATAGCTTCACTCCCAGGTTTTTTCCCTTACCACCTTTGTATTAATTTGCACCTTGTTTCCAGACTCCATTAGTATTTTCCTACAGCTTCTTCAGGAATCTTTAACTGTCCTGGTCAGTCTTTAGCTGTTAATATGCTCTGCTTTTCTGTGAGACTGAATGTGGTGGCCATGGGCTACATGAAGTGGCAAAAGTGGCCAATGTGTAAGGTTCAGAAAGGACATCTGGTCCAGAACACTCTTAAATCAGATAGCTTGAGGCCTGGTGCAGTGGTTTTGAATGTCTCCAAGGATGGAGGTTCAACAACCCAACACAGAGACACTCTGCTCTGTATTAACCTTTACAGTAATATAATCAGAATCCATAATTGTGCATTAATCTTCCCAGCCACCACTCCATTGAGATGAGGCATAAAGGTAAGTATCTATCCTTGCTTGGAGCTGTCAGAGCAGCCTCCTTGCCCAGTGATTTCAGCTCTTCTAGCCCTTGGACCTCCCATCCCTTCTCTGCTTTGCTGGGATCACTACAGTGGGAGTTCCCTCCATGTCCTGCTGTTTTTTTCAAGGACACCAAGACACTTCAGTCATCTTTCACACTGTGAAAGGGCATAGCCAGTTACTCACTGATCTACTAGCATTTCTGTGGGACTGGTTTTGAAAGCAGCTTCAACAAGCTTTTTTCATTACTATGAAGACAGCACAGATTTCTTCTTTAATTTCTGTCAAGAAGCTTTCCATCCATCTCCAGAAAGAAGGAAAGCAGCAAACTGAAAAAAACCCAACCAAACAGAAGGACAACCAACATTAAAACCATTACAGGAAGGATAATTCACCTTTTCCCCTTCTCTTTACCAGTACAGGAAGGATGACTCATCTTTTCCCTGGTCCCTTCACAACTTCAATGTTTCAGCCAGTCCTTGACACAACACAGTTTCTATTTGCACATTAGCCAATTTCTGCTCTTGGCACCATTCCTTTGTTTTCAGATGGACCTACATGCCATTTGTCCTGCAGTGACTGATAGAGATTCCCTGGTGAGTTTCAGTCTTGCTGAAGGGCTTGAGATTGGAGGGAACCACATGCTCCGGGAGCTGCAGGGCAAGGGCATGAACAGTTGCCAACAAACTATTTAAAGAGGGAACAGGCAGCACGGGATGTGTGAGAGGGAACAGTGACCAGCTGTAACACTGGGAGAAGAGCATTAGGGCAGCAGCCAGAGACCTGGAAAATGCCTGGGGAAAGAAAGGTCAACAAGAATTGTTTTAAAGGCTAAGAAGAGCTCTCTTTACAAATACTTAGGGAAAAAAAATCCAAAGCCCCACTTTTGTTAGGAGACAGCCTGTATAACAAAGTGGAATGTGTTTTCACTTAATACAGCTGACAGCTGTGAATTAATTTCCTCCTCTTAAAGAAACCCTGAAATACCACCTATAAAGATTCACCACGTGTAACTCACTGAGAAAAAAATGAGGAGTAAAACCACATGTGACGCCACCTCTTAAAAAAATCAATACTCCTGCCAAATGGTATTAAAAACCAATAATGCAATAATGATTAAGACAGATGACAAACTATAGTTCAAGGCATTACAGCCTTCAAAGGGTTAATTAACTGGCCTTCATCCAAGCTTCCCAATACTTGGTATTTTCATGATGCATTTGCTTGAGTTGCCACCCTGAGCCTGCCCTCTGAATATTGTTGGAAACACCAGGTGAAGGCTGGCATTGGGTGGTGGCACATCAGTGGTGCATCCATGGTTAGGAGTGCATCATCCCCCCATCTCATACTTCACTCAATGTGACTTGCATAAAAT